ATAGATAGATAGATAGATAGATAGAGAGAGAGAGAGAGAGAGAGAGAGAGAGAGAGAGAGAGAGAGAGAGAGAGAGAGAGAGAGAGGTTTGTGTGTGTAGAGAGACTTAGTCACGATGTACGGCAGAGTTTTACAAGGAGGAGGGTCGCACATGATCACGTGCGAGGGTGATGAACACGGAGGAGCACTTCAGAAGCTGGTACATTTGTGAGCGTTGTGATGCGCTTGTAGTTGTCGTTTCTTTAACGGTCGCTCTGACAGGCTCTCGTTCAGGGAGAGATGGTGGCAAGCAAGTCCAGGGGATATGGCGTCTCTCCCCTCTCTTCTCCACTGGCAGTTTCGATCAACGAACGATTTCCTTCCTTACATGAAAGTGTTCTGAAAGTTGTGCTGTGTAAGATAGCACGGTGCGCTTCTGGGAAGGTGGTGGTACCAGCAGGGTGGTGGCTTGAGTTATCTGTGCGCAACCAGTTGACCTGAGTTATCTGTTGGTTGGTAGTACCTGGGGCCAGTTTGCCAGTTCTCGTGGTGAGCACGGTGCGAGGTTGGTAGTACGTGGTACCAGTTTGCCAGTTCTCGTGGTGGGGCCAGTTTGCCAGTTCTCGTGGTGGGCATCCAAGTGACCAGAGGTATGAGTTGGTGGCTTGAGTTATCTGTGCGCAACCAGTTGACTTGAGTTATCTGTTGGTTGGTAGTACGTGGGGCCAGTTTGCCAGTTCTCGTGGTGGGTATCCAAGTGACCAGAGGTATCAGTTGGTTAGGACCAGTTAGCCACAGCTCATGTGCAGCAAAAATAGTGCAAGGAATTTCAGTTCTTGTCCTGTTTTTTCTCGGAAAGAGGTCAGAATGGTCAGGTAGGGAGAACGGCAGTGTGGCGAGTCGTGGTGTACAAAGAACCGCAGTGTGGCTACCGTCTTCACGTGAATAGAACGCCCGGTCATTATAGCTGTGTTTGATACGAATTTCAGTCCAGATACGGCTATAATGACCGGGCATTATATTCGGGCGAAGACGGTAGTCGCGGTATTATGCGGGCATCCGGTTGACCAGAGTTAGTCAGTTGGTTCAACTTGGTTGGCACCTGCTTGCCACTTTTTGTGGTCCTGTTGTTCTCTGAAAGAGGTCAGAAACCTCAGGACCTGGTATGGAGAACCGCAGTGTGGGGCTAGTCTAGTCGCGGTATTATGTGGGCACTGGGCATCCAGTTGGCCAGAGTTAATCATTTGGTTGGGCACCAGTTTGCCACTTTTTGTGGTGCTGTGTATCCGCCACCATGAGTGCAAAAAGCGCCAAGTTCAAGGAATGTTAGTTCTTGGTCCTCTTGCTCTCCGAACGAGGATGAAGAAGCCTCAGGTCTGGAGAAAGGTAGTGTGGAGAATCGCGGTAGGGAGAATAGCTGTATGGAGAATAGCTGGTGAGAAATGGGAAGGAGTGCTGTGTACATAGTATCTGAGAATAGCTGTATCGAGAAATACCTCTGGTGAGAAATGGGAAGGATTGCTGTGTACATAGTATCTGGTCTGGTGAGAAATGGGAAAGGAGTGCGGTGTACATAGTATCTGAGANGGAAAGGAGTGCGGTGTACATAGTATCTGAGAATAGCTGTATGGAGAATACCTCTGGTGAGAAATGGGAAGGATTGCTGTGTACATAGTATCTGGACGATATGGTGTACGATGAGTGGACGCGGACAAGGTTGATATTCGCTCTCTGCCTCGGCTAGTTGAGGCTGGATGTCTGGTCGCAGGTGATGAGGACCTCCGACTGATAAGGGAGCAGGGATCGGCCTCAGTGGGGTCAGCAGCTTTGACGAGGAAAGGCGGAGGGGGGAGAGTACGTGCATTGAAATGTTGAGGGAGCTGTAGAAGTATGTCGCCGTGTGGCGATTCCGATGTCGATTGCCGTGGCACCGAGAAAGCGAACGCAGGTATTTCGCATCTCTTCGACTCTTCTGCATCGCTCATGAAAGTCGTTGAACCAGCAGTACTTCCTAAAGTCGTGCCCGTTAACAAGCCATGGCGGTTTCGGGAAACGTACGGGCCACTACAGGAGCGTCCAAATTCATCCGACTAGAAACGTTTCCACTCTATTTTTTTTCCGCGACCGATAGCTGAGCCAAGTACTGGTAGTTTAAGGGCAATGATCTATACCTAAAGGCAAGGTAATGAAGAATTGCTGGCTCGTACATTGTGGACGTGCTGGCGATTTCTTGCCCTCAGTTGTGTTGGAGGCAATCAACAGATCGATCTCGAGCTTCTATCATTCTATGTCAAATTGATGAGAAAGCGGGGGTGTGTAGGTGCTGAAAACAGAACTGCTGGAAAACAGAGGGACAAATTGTGACTGCTGTATGTACGTATAGTGGGGGATGATTTCGGAGTTCCCTTCTTTTATCTTTTTTTTTTTCTTTTTTCTTTCCCTTTTCCTTTCTAAGGAATTTCGACGTTTTTTGGATACTACCATCCCTTCTTTTATCTTTTTTTTTTTCTTTTTTCTTTCCCTTTTCCTTTCTCAAGAATTTCGACGTTTTTTGGATACTACCATTGCGTCAATTGGGTTGGTGGATCTTTTTTGTGAATCAGATGGAAGAATTCTTGCACCACTGCCTGCCCATTGCCATGATTTTCTGAGCACCTCCCTCTTCTCGGCCCGGTGCTGGGCGCTCCAGTCTATTGGCAGGGCCTCGCCGGGGAGCAGCACCTGATGGAAACTGGGTTCAGCACCGCGCTATCCATCCCTCCTGAAGTTTGATGAGAGAGTTTCTGCAATCTCTGTGAAGATTTCTTGAATTTTCTTCGTCATCGATCCTTTTCTTTCATGTCCCCCCCACTGGCGAATGACCACATTGGTCTTTTTTTTTTTTTTTTTTTTTTTTTTTTGAGGCAATAGTACCTCCACCAGTGGTGGG